GCCTACACCTCCTATTTCCTTGTATGCCTTACCCTCATTAACCACCATTTTATCATCTCTGGACATTTGACTTTATAAAACAATTCCATAAATGAATGGAGTCATATAATATTTTTCTCTGTGTCTGACTTATTTAACCTGACATATTTTTTCAAATATTCCTGATAAATGCTGCACTCCTTCCTTTTTAAAGAATGAATGGGGGCTGGAGAGATGGCTCAGAGGTTATGAGCATTGCCTGCTCTTCCAAAGGTCCTGAGTTCAATTCCCAGCAACCACATAGTGACTCACAACCATCTGTAATGGGGTCTGGTGCCCTCTTCTGGCCTGTAGGCATACACACAGACAGAATATTGAATACATAATAAACAAATAAATAAATGAATAAACAAAATTTTAAAAAAAAAGACTGAATGGCATTTCATTGTGTAGATGCACCACATTTTTTTAAAACCATTTGTCCACTGTTAAACATTTCTGGTATGAACATGACAATGTAGACATATTTACAAGATGTTGATTTTGTTTCCTTTTTACATATATCCAGAAAAGGAATTTCTGGGTCATATAGTAGTTCTAGTTTTAACTTTATAGTAATCATACTAATTTACATTTCCCAATAAGAGTGTGCATGTGTACCCCTTTCTCTCCACCTTCACAAACAATTGCTTTCTTTTTAATAATAGATAACCTAACTGGGGTGAAGTAATGTCTTTTTGTTTTAATTTGTGTTTCCCTAATGATACTGAACATCTTTTTTAATAACTCTTTGCCATTTGTATGTCTTCTTTGTAAAGCTTCTCTTTAGATCCTTGTCTATTTGTTTCCCTTGAGACAGAGTCTCACCATGTAGCTCTGGATGACTTGAAACTCACTAAGTAGACCAGGTTAGCTTTGAGATCACAGAGATCCTCCAGTCTCTGTCTGCTGAGTGATGGAATTAAAAGTATATGCCACCACACACATCCAGTTTAAGTGGGGTTATTTGTTGTCCTGATATTGAGTTGTAAATATTCTATTTTAAATTTTTTAACATCATGTATATGTCTGTAAGGTGTTGTGTACCTGAGTGCAGGTGCCCTTGGAAGTCAGAAGAGGGCTTTCTGGAGAGCCCCCTGGAGCTGAGATTATAAGAGGTAACAGATGTGGGTATTGGGAACAGAATCTGGGTCTTCTGCTAGATCAGCATGCACTCTAAAACAATGAGTCATCTTTCTAGTCCTAGAAGTTCTTTGTACATTTTAGAAGTTAAATCTAATCAGCTGGGTGTGGTGGTAAGTTCCAGGACTCAGGAGGCAGAAACTGATGGATTTCTGAGTGGGAGGCCAACCAGGTTCCCACAGAATTTCAGGATAACTAGAGTTACACAGAGAAACCATGTCTCAATAACAACAACAACAACAACAAATCCAATGTAATCAGAAGCATTGCTTGCAATTTTTTTTCAGTCTTTTTCACAGTCGCCATTTAATTTTGCCATTTCTTCTCCGTTATGCACTGAACCTTGGTCTTTGACCTACTTACTTAGCAAACAGCTCCTAGGACACATTATTTTGGCTTTTTCCAATCATAGTTCTCAGGCAGACATTTTAAAACCTAGGGAAACTCATGCTAGTAATCTTGTTTGATTTAGCATCAAGACTGCATTGTATCTTCCTCAAGTTACTTATGTAACTCTTTTTCCTTCTAGCCCTGCTGAGATACTTATGAACAACTTTATGCCTTTTCCTTCTTTGTGTCTTTGTGCATGCTCCTCCCTCTGTATTGCTTTAGTCATAGTGTAATCACCACTTCTCTTTGGAGCCTTCCTAGACCCTGATCTGACAGGGGTCTTTCTTTTGTGTTATCTCTTAGTATCTTGGTTTTCTTTTATTATAACACTTGTCTCATTGACTACAATTATCTGATTATCCATCTGCCCACTTCCCCTGCCACCCACAAGACTGGGAGTGGCATGATGTGTGACTTGCTTGATTTGACTTCTTCAGTATCTGCATAGTATGTAGCATATTATTATATCAACTGGTACTTTTTGAATCAGTGAATTATAATGTCTGTGTCATCTCCCCTCCGTGTTAAAAGAACTTAACATGAAACTTGCTTCTGTGCTCAATTTGATTTCCTCTTTTGGAACCATTTTTAAAGAAGTAAAACAAAGTTCCTCTTCACATTTCCTCACCAAAGTAGCTCATGGAAAGTTTGGGGTTCTCCAGGCCTTCCTTGGAAGATTTCCTTAGCAAGCATGCAAGATATCATCCTGTCCTTTGTCCCTATTAATCCCAAAACTGTTTTCCCACCTCCTATTCTAAACCCCAGAGCGAGGTGAATTCCTCTCTTTGCTAATGACCCACTTCCATTCAGTTTTCTTGTTTCCAGTCATGTTTTCTTATTATTGTTTTTTGAGACTGGGTCTCAATTTGTAGTCCAGCTGAACTGGAACTCACTTAGTAGGGTAAGGTAGCCTTGAACTCATGATATCCCACCAGCTTCTGCCTCCCAAATTCTAAGATTAAAGTATACCATGCCTGGCAGTGCCTATTTTTGCAACAGGCATTTTTGAGTCATTATTTTTCTCTTTCTCCTAGATTATTCCCATAAAATATTCATGCTGTTGTTTCTCCTGTCATACTGCCCCCATCTTCTGAGAGACAAATCTCTTTTCAGAGCTTTACATGCATGTAAAGGCAGATCTAGGGAAGGGATTTTCTGCCTCAACCCAACTCAGTGACTATCCTTTTGCTTGCTATCCCTTGTCACAGACTAGAAGGGCTTTGGATTCTTAGGTATACTTACGGGTCTTTTGTGACAACTGGTCTTTGCTTTTCAACAAAGACCATCTTTAGAGTTTCTGCTTCCCTGAATCTCATATTATTTGAATAGAGAGAGAATTGAATTGCTCCAAATGATGATTTTCTCCCCTAGCTTCTTGGCTTAAAAACTAGAGATACAGAGATTGAAGAAATTGTTCAGGGTTAAGAGCACTGTCTGCTCTTCCAGAAGTCCTGAGTTCAATTCCCATATGGTGGTTCACAACTATCTATGACTGTAGTCCCATGGGTTTAAAACCCTCTTGTGGTGTTCAGACAAAACACTCAGACACATGAAAACAAACAAACAAAAACAAATCATTTTTGTTGTTATTGTTAAAGCTAGAGTTACAGAAGACTTCCTATTCTGTTGCTCACCGTGCCTCTTAGCAGAACCACACATCCGGCTGTCACACATGCCATCACTTGGAAGAGAAAAACCACAGAGCTATAAATCTCTCCACTTGCATTTGTTGTTACCCTGTTGCCCTTTTCTGTGATCATTCCCATTTAGGGCCAATGTGTCCTATTGCTACAGCATAAAGTACATCTATGTTATGTATGTGGGCTGGTTCAGTTGCTTGAGATAATGAAGGGATACCTTAAATAAAAAGGTGTGGAATTCAAGTTCCTCACTTGTATCATTAGCCTCCCCAATACTGAGCTGTCCTTAAAACTATGCAGTAAAACAGATTTACAGATGGTATATTTTTTTCTTTAGTACCAAATGTATCATTAGGAAGTTTGGTATGGTTATGAACTGTAATGCCAGCACTTGGGAAATAGTGGCAAGAGAAAATCAGAAATATAGTCTTAGGTTTTCTATTGGTGCAATGAAACACCATGACCAAAAAGCAAGTTAGAAATGAAAGGATTTATTTGTCTTACACTTCCATATCACTGTTTATCATCGAAGGAAGTCAGGACAGGAACTAAAACAGGGCAGGAACCTGGAGGCAGGAGCTGGTGTTAAGGCCATGAAGGGGAGCTTCTTAGTGGCTTGCTCCCCAAGGCTTGCTCATCCTGGAATGGCGCACCCCCCCCCATCAATCACTAAATAAGAAAATGTCTTATGCCAGGTGATGGTGGCACACACCTTTAATCCCAGGACTTGGGAGGCAGAGGTGGGTGAATCTCCAAGTTTGAGGCCAGAGTCTCTTGGTCTACAGAACAAGTTCCAGGACAGCCTGGGCTACACAGAGAAACCCTGTCCTGAAAAAAAAAAAAGAAAAGAAAAAGAAAGTGCCTTTCAAGCCTGCCTACAACCTGACCTTATGGAGGGATTTTCTTTTTCTTTTTTTTTTTTTGTTTATTTTTTTTTTAGTTGTTGAAAAAAATTTCTGCCTCCTCCCCGTTTCCCATTTCCCTCCCCCTCCTCCCACACATCGCCCCCTCCCTCCATTCCCTTCCCCCTCTCCCCCTCCCCCCACTCCATTCCCCCTCCCTATCGAGAATGAAGAGCAGTCCAGGTTCCCTGCCCTGCGGGAAGTCCAAGGTTCTCCCACTTCTATCCAGGACCAGGAAGGTGAGAATCCAAACAGGCTAGGCTCCCACAAAGCCAGTTTATGTATTAGGATGGAAACCTAGTGCCATTGTCCTTGGCTTCTCATCAGCCTTCATTGTCCGCCATGTTCAGAAAGTCCGGTGGAGGCATTTTTTTAATTAAGGTTTCCTCCTCTCAGATAGCTTTAGCTTGTATCAAGTTGACATAAAACTGTCCAGCCCACACACACACACACACACACACACACACACAACATTTACTTATTTTATTTAATATGTGTGAATGTTTTGACTGCATGTATGTCTGTGTACCACATGCATACCTAGTGCCTATGAATTCAGAAGAGGACATTGGATCCCATGAAACTGGAGTTACAGGTGATTGTCAGCTGCCTTGTGGATGCTAGGAACTGAATTCAGGTTCTCTACAAGAGCATCAAATGCTGTTAACTACTGAGCAACTAGTCAAGCTCCCAGCCCCTTAAATAAAGAATTTGAGGTCTCGTTTGACTACACACTGAGTTTGAATCTATTGTGCCCTCTTTAAGACTCTCTCTAAGAAAAAGTATTACTTTAGAATGACAGTTTTTCTTCTTTCTTGCTGTCCTTGTCCCTGCTATAAGGTTCTTGTTAGAGCTTAAGAAACATGAAAAATTGGTCTAATAACTTCATGTCAAATTTTTTCTGCAGGCTTGGCGCAAGCGGTGGTTTGTTCTCCGGCGGGGCCGCATGAGTGGCAATCCTGATGTCTTAGAGTACTATCGCAACAAGCACTCCAGCAAGCCTATCCGTGTGATAGACCTCAGTGAATGCACTGTGTGGAAGCATGCAGGCCCTGACTTCGTTAGGAAGGAGTTCCAGAACAATTTTGTGTTCATTGTCAAGACTACTTCCCGTACATTCTACCTAGTAGCCAAGACTGAGGAAGAAATGCAGGTGTGGGTACACAGCATCAGTCAAGTCTGCAATCTCAGTCACCTAGAAGATGGTGCAGGTAAGAGCAGGGTTGGAACTCCTTGAGAAAAGGGATTGTCCAAGGTGCTTTGTTGGTGCTGGAAAACTACTGCAAATAAGTGGTGCCTGCCTCTGTGAAAGTATTTTGGCAATGTAATGTATATTACCAAAGCTAATCCTACTAATACAACACTTGAAACTGTCTTTTGCTTAGTAGTAGGATTCAGTTCCAAATGTAGAAAGGCAAAACTTGCCCATACATGTAATATTGGAGATCTCTGCTAATAAACAACCTGAAAGTTGGCTCTTGGTCACTTTTTAGCATTGAGAGCAATTAACTCAATTATTACTTCCTTCTCCTTTCCCTTTTTCCCCTTCCTTTGCCTTCTAATTCCACACCCTGTCTTTTTCCATCTCCTTCCCTCCCTTGTCTTTGACCTTGTCTCCACATACTACCATTCCCATGTAATATACAAAAGGGTTATAGCCTAGGGTTATAATTTACTTTCCTTTGTAGATTTTCTTTTTGAGTCTGTATTAGTCAAGGTTCTCTTAAGTAACAGAACTGATAGAGTGGTGTGTGTGTGTGTGTGTGTGTGTGTGTGTGTGTGTATTAGAGTGGCTTACACAATGGCTGTCCCCTGATGGAAAGGCCAAGAATCAGATAGTTGTTCAGTCCATGAGGATGTATATGCCACAGTTGGTCTTCATTCTACAATGGAATCTTTAAAATGTAGGTTCTAATACCAGCAAAGGAATGCCTCAGCAGCAGGATAGATGAACTTCCCAGAAAGAGTGAGGGAGAGCAGGCAAAACGTAAAAGCTTCATCTTTCCATGTACTTTTTGTGTGGACTGCTACTAGAAATTGTGACCAAGATTTACGGTATGACATCTCACCTCAAATGATTCAATCAAGAAAATCCTTCACAGCCTTACCTAGCTGTAGTGAGGAGGCGAGCTGACCTGCTTTTCGTCCCACCTGGCTCCCGTATGGCTAGCTTTATACCCAAAATAACAACATACAAATTGTATTCATTTAAACACTGCCTGGCCCATTAGTTCTATCCTCTTATTGGCTGACTCACATCTTGATTAACCCATTTCTAATAATCTTTGTAGCACCACGAGGTGGTGGCTTACCGGGAAAGATTCTAGCCTACATCCATCTCTGGTTGAAGAATCATGGCATCTGACTCACTTCCATTCTTCCCAGCATTCTGTTCTGTCTACTCCACGCACCTACGTTCTGACCTATCAGGCCAAGCAGTTTCCTTATTAATTAACCAATGAAAGCAACACATAGAAAGAAGACCCACCTACATCACCTAGCCACTTGGGCTTTAGTTGATTCCAGATGTAGTTAAGTTGGCAACCAAGATTAGCCATCACAGTGCCCTAGTATTATCTCACCAAATTCTGACAGTTGGAGTAGGGAATTTTGAATCTGACTTCTTTTAGCCTCTTTGTTTAGTAGAAAAAAAATGTATCCCTAATCTTGGTACATACTTCAACATTTTAATAACTCTTAGCTCTTTTTACTATCTACCATGGAAATATCCACATTATAACACCAGGTGGCAATGAGGAGTCAGGGTTGCATTTCTAAGGCAAACATGCATGTGTGTATTCCTTTCATGAGTCAGCAAAGCTTGTTAAGTGATACTATTTAGTAACATTACTGAATTTTGAAAACACTCAAATAAAAGGAAATGAAGTGACAGCAAGTACTTTATCTTTGGTACAACAGATAGAGCTTGCAAAGTCACAGTATATCCATCATGCCTAGAGCCTGACATCAAGCAAATCTAGCAGAGCCTCCCTGACCAACTCTTCCAATGGTACTTGCTGCTGGCTCTCCACTATCCTATTTTCTACCTTCAGCCAAACTGTTTTAACTTTCTTTTTTATTTATTCTTCTGTTTTTCACATTAAGCTTCTTGATCCCATTCATTTCCCATCCCTTTGTATCTGCCCTCTGCCCTTGCATCTGCCCCCTCCCCAATAAATTAAAATAGAATTTAAGAGAAAAAAAGAAAACATCTTGTCATGGAAGCTGTAGTGTGACACAGTGAGTCATGCAGTAAACACTTTTATCTATATATCTTTGCTTGTAAGTGTTCATTGCAAAGAGTCATTGGTCTGGTTCGAGACTTCTGGTTTCTGCTACACTTTGATATTGGGCCCTCACTGAGACTCTTCTTGGATATCCTGTTGCTGCCCTGTGTTGTGGAGATCCTGAAGCTTTGGGTCTGCAGGACCAGCCCCTTCATGTGGTCCAGAAGATCATAGATGGGGTGGATGTTGGGGTGGGCCAACTCATAATCCTGGTTCTGGGCCTGGGTAATTGCAAGATTGGTTAGTCTGCCAGCTTCCTCTTCCCCTTCACCACCAGCATGAGCTCTACAGCTTTGTCTGGGCTAGTTCACCCTTTGCAATGATGAGTAAGGGGCCAGGCCATTTCTCCTGCTATTAGGCCCTCAGGGTAGGCTCTTCCACACCTACACCTTCAGGGCCAACATTTCAGTGTTGCCACTCTCCCAAGTGCTGCAGCTGGTGAGGGGCAAGGACAGCTCTCTAGCTCTTCTGTCCTCGGGGAGAGCTCTCTCACCTGCCACAGGCAGTGTGGTGGGATGCTACTATGTGGCAGATGAGGGGTGGGGCCAGATCTTCCATACTCACTTTCTAGCCAGTTTGTCCACACCCCCTTGTCTGTAGGGTCAGCTCTATTGTGCTGTCCCAGGCAAGGATCAGAGACCACTTTCCCTGAGTGCTGCAATTGGTAAGGGGGAGGGCCAGCTCCTTCACCCATCACAGGTGGCACGGGCAAGAGGGGTGGTTTACCCAAACTTTTACATCTATTTTTTTCACGCACACTCGAATGTGTCTCCTCCTTCTTTTTTCATCCAGCAGTTGTCCCAAAACATATATAGTAGGATATTTCTCAGTGACTCCAAAAGGAACAGGAATAAAGAACCAGGAAGAACCTAGACAACCCTGCCCTGTTATGGAGTTGGAAGAAACCAAGAAACTTCCCCACAACTCCTTTTATTCCCTCTGTTTTTAGAAAAATGTAAAGGTCAAGTTCTTTTCACCTGAAATCCATGATATAAAGGCTTTCTTGCAACTTTCCATATGCAGCAGCCCCTTTTATTCACAGGTGTTGGATTTCAAAATCTCTACTAGATGCCTGAAGCCTCAGAAAGTGCGAGTCTCTATTTTCGATGGTATATCATATTCTCTAAGTATATACACACACATTTAATGCCTTTCTATCTTACATAAGTGTTTATCATACATTATGACTGTCACCAGAAACTTTTTCATTTTGAAGTGGGAGAGCAAAATAAATACCTATTTTTCTTCACAATTTTATGAATAGAAGGTTCATTCCTATGTCAATCTTGCAAACTTAATATAAGATTTTTTCATATTAAGTGAAAATATGTCACTTGTTTGTACTAACAGAAGCTCTTTATGACATTTATTTAACACAGTTCTATTACTGGGATCATTACTCTTACACATTAAAGTTATTTTTTTGTTTGTTTGTTTTTTCGAGACAGGGTTTCTCTGTGGTTTTGGAGCCTGTCCTGGAACTAGCTCTTGTAGACCAGGCTGGTCTCGAACTCATAGAGATCCGCCTGCCTCTGCCTCCCAAGTGCTGGGATTAAAGGCGTGTGCCACCACCGCCCGGCCACATTAGTGTAGACTGTTGCATATACTGGACAGAGAGAAGATTAAAATCCCAGACAGAACATAGTGTATGCACAAAAATTTATCATAATGCCTCAGAATTTCAAATTTATGACTTCTGGGACTGAAGAGATGCCTCAGTAGTGAAAAGTGTACACTGCTCTGGCATCTCATAACTCCCTGTAACTCCAGATCTAAGAGACCCAAAGATCTCTTCTTTTAGCCTTAATATTCACTGCACACACACACACACACACGCACATACACACGCATTTGCATGAACATGTACACACACATACATAAACACACATTTTTTTAAAGAAAACATACTACTTCCTTATTTCTGAAATTTTCCATTTCATGGTTTCAGACTAAGATTGATTTCAGGTAAATAAAACAATAGAAAGGGAAAGTACAATAAGAAGAAACAACTGTATAGCATTTGCTTCTGTCTTTATTAGCCACAGTCTAGGCAACATTGTATCTTCCCTATGACTCTGTGCCAGATGTGCTGTTGTCATCTCTACTTTACAATATAGGATACCTGAAGAAAACAGATAACGAGAACCTGTCATTGATAACTAGAACATGTATTTATGTATATAGAATATGTTGGACTTTTTGATGCAGTGGCAAACACAAAAGGGGGCAAATTTATTTTAGCTGGTGGTTTCAGTCCATGATTGCTTGGATCCTTTGTAGGCCTATTGCTGTGGGCCTGTTGTAAGACAGAAGATGATAGCCACAAGAAAATATGCTCATCACAGTTACTCACTTCACAGCCAGAAACAAAGGGAATGCGTGCCTATACTTGTGGGCTTCTTTCTTCTCTTTTTGTTCCATCCAGGACTCTAGTTCGCTGGATGATGTACACACATTTCTCCCCTTAACCATTTGTGAAAATGTAAAAATGCTTATACTCAGAACTGTGCCTGAATAACCTTTTAGTCATTTTTCAGTCCAGTAAAGTCGATACAATTAATATTACAAGTCCTTTCTATTTGATACCCTATTAAATCTCCCCAAACCATATTTAAACTCCAAATAAAGACAGTAACATGATCATAATCACATCCTTTGACTATCCTGTGTACAACCAAAATAATTCAAATTCTTTTCTCAAATCGTCAACAGATTCAGCATTGCTCAAAAATCAATCCAAGTACAAAGTCTTATATGGAGACGGGAGGCAATCTCTTCTCTGTGAACCCCCATAAAAAATTACATACTCCCAACATCTATTGGCAGTAAACATTACCACTCCAAAAGAGACAGGATGGGGGCATAAGAAAGGAGGGATGGGACCCAAGCAAAGTCAAAACCCAGAAAGTCAAGTATTAAATCCTATAGCTCCATATCCATCAGCTGGAGCATAGGGTATGGTGATGTGAGTTCCTCAGGGTTTGGAGAGCCATGGCACTGTAGCCTTGTCAGCTACAGCCCATGTGGTTTCCTCCCTAGTTTGCTCCCAGTGCCTTTCTTTTTAATTTTAACTTATTTTTGTGTGCATTAGTATTTTCCTGCATATAGTCTATGTGAATGAGAGTGTCAGGTTCCCTGGAAGTGGAGGTACAGAGAGTTGTAAGATGCCATGTGGGTGCTAGGAATTGAACCTGGGTCCTCTGGAAGAGCAGTCAGTGCTCTTAACTGCTGAGCCATCTCTCCAGCCCCCACAATGCCATTCTGTAGATGTTTCATGTTCTTGACTTCATGATTTCCAGCTTCTTGGGTTCTCCCTTTTATCTTCAGCTTCATTCTCATAGCCTTATACATTGTCCTTTCATGGGCTCCTCCCAAAGATTCTGACCCTAATACACATTGTCTGGTTTCTCCGGCTTTTCTTTGAAATCTAGATCGACATCTCCAAGACCCTAAGACTCTTACATTCTTATGAATGATGCTAGTGTCTGACATCAGTTCATAATGGTAGGTAGTTCTCCTTGAAACATGGCTGTAGCAATATCCAGATAACCAGGCAATTGAACTTGGGTAGAACTCTCTTCTCAAGGGAAAGTCTTTCAAATGAGTTTGCACCTTTACATTTTTAGACCTGTAATAGTTGGATCACAATGATTCCTGAGGTATCATTAAGACATCTTTCCTATTTTTCTTATGCAAAGTACCTAACATTTTTGTTGTCACTGCTACAAATTTGGGGATTGGGAATAGGGCCTTGGTTTTGGTAGGCATGTGCTCCATCACTGACCTACACACCCTACATCTAATTTCTTTTAAATGATGCTAATCTTTTTTAAAATCATGACTTTTTAATTACAACTTTATATGCATGTTTCAGGCCAAACTGAAGCATTTTTAAGTCTTTGCTGAAGTTAGAGAGATGGCTCAACACTCAAGAGCACTGGCTGATCTTACAGAAAACTTGGGTTGATTTCAAGCACCCACATAGCAGCTAACAACAATTTGTAACTACAGATCTGGAAGGGGGGTTGATACTCTCTTCTGGCCTTCTCAAGCACTGCACACACACATAGTGCACAGACATACAGATAGACAAAACACCTATATACTAAAATAAAACTAAAATTAAAAATAAAATGAAACAACAAAAAACTCAGTTCTTGCATTTTGCTTTATGTTCCCTGGTTCTTATTGTAAACCTGACTAAAATCAGCCTGCAACCCTTGTAGAATAGAGTGAACGTTATGTTGCCCTTTGTGTTCTGCCTTCCACAAAGTCTCAGGGCATGACAATGCAGTAATGTTCTTTTCCACTATGCAACATGAACTCTAATTCTTTCCCCAGAAGAATCTTCATTCTCTTGTGATATCTCATGAGTATAGTCTTTTCTGTCTGGACTCTTACAAGATTCTTATTTTCTAAGTTCCCACTAGAGTCATCATGAAGTTCTGCTTACAGAATTCCAGATCTTCTTTACCTCAGGTCTCGAAATTCCCAAAATCTTCGCATAAATCAGTTCCAGAGGCATCTGAACCACATATTCAGGAACAATTATGGTAACACCCCTCCCCTAGTGTCAATTTTCTGTGTTAGTCAGATTTTTGTTGCTGTGGCAAATACATGACACAAATTGAAAGTAGAAATTTTCATATTTTACTCACCAGTTCAGAAGTTTCAAACCATGGTCGACTGGCTCCATTGCTTTGGACCTGAGATAAAACGGAATATTATAGCAGTAGAAGAGTTTAGCAGAAGCTGCTTGCCTTGTTATAGACAGGAAGGAAGTGGGGGTAAGATGGAATACAGCCCCCCTATATGCCTCTCTAGTGACCTGTTTCCTTAAAGGAGGCCCTACCTTCAAAAGCTTCCACAATCTCCAAATAATGCTATCAAATTATCAATTCCTCAGTAGATTGATCCATTCTTAAATGGAAATATAAATGATCCAGTCACTTTTCAGTGATTGGATTCAATACTCAGTATCAGAGTTCCAACATATGAGCCTTTTGGAGGGGAGAGACATATCCAAATCGTAATATTTATATGCCTAAATGCATATATGTATATTAGTATATACATATAGACTTGTTATGTATAAATGCATTAAATGCATATGCACATAAATATGTATATTTATTGAGTGATTCAACTCTGCTGCTGAGGACTGTTAAGCTGTATGTAGACTATTGAACTGCAGGTTTTCAAGCCAAGAATGCTTGTTTGAGTTTTTTTGTTTTGTTTTGTTTTCTCTTAATTGATTCAACACTTCACTCTTGGAACACTGGTCCTCTTTCCCAGACATTGTTTATAGCTTGAGGAAATGGTTGCCTCCACCAGTACAAACACCAGCTGTGATTTGCATCTTCTATTTGGTTTTTGGATACTATTTGAGAAACTGAGTGAGTGTTATAGTCATTCTTAAAACACTAACCTGGGAAATGATTTTTCCAGCAGATTCTGTGGAGAGTCTCTCTCCCATGCCCTCCTCCCTCCAGCCATCCACTGCCAGTTCACTTCATACCGCCCATGTTGCCAACTCTGCCTTGCCAAAAGATGACCCAAACACTAATACAGTATCCACTGAGGAAAACAGAAGTGAGTCAGCGTTTCTCTTCCTTCCTGATTATCTGATCCTGTCCAACTGTGAGACTGGAAGACTACACCATACCAGGTATGCTTACTTTTGGGACTCAGTTGGGCCTTCTAGAATGTTCTACTCTGTTCATAGAGCTCACACTGACTTTTGCAGAGTCTGTATCTGAGATGTGCTGAAAGAACATAGACAAATAAGTCAGTTTAGCAACAATGTTTTCTAGTAGATGGGTATACTCTCATCTCTTTTTTACTACTGCAAAGAATGAGGGCAGATCATTATCAATATCACTATTAAAGATGAAGTAGTATTCTAAATAAAATGAGTCATGGGTTTCTGCATTGTGGCTTTCATTTCTCACTTTGCATTTCCTACTCATCTGATGCTATATAGGATGAAAAACCCCGCAAACTTTTTTTCTGCACTAAGGAGTTGGCATAAATGTGTATTATAAAAAGAATGTCTCTACAAGTAGAAAAAGGGTGGCATATGGCAACTTAGAATGAGGTATATGTGGATTTTGTGTGTGGATGTCCATATATCAATCAAATTTATATGCTTTTCTTTCTTCAGTCTTCCCACCAGATGCGATAGCTGGTCAAATTCAGATCGTTCATTGGAACAGACTTCTTTTGATGATGTTTTTCTTGATGGTCTGCAGCCATTTACCTCTAATACTTTGATCCAACCCCTACACCAAGGGAATGGATCTCAGGATGTGCCTTCCACAAGGCCCCAGCCTGCTCTAATCTGGAATAGAGAAATCAATGTTCCATCCAGGAACCACATGTCTTCTTCACCATTTCTAGAGTCTTCTTTAAATCCCATAATTCATGTAGAGAAAAAGCAAGTTTCCTTACCCAGTGGGGCAAAAGAACTAAGCATTATGTCCAATACTCCACCTCCTCGCCCTCCTAAGCCAAGTTATCTCTCTGAACGGCGCCAGGAAGATCAGCTCCTGTTGACTGGGTACCGCAGTAGCAAGAAGCCAGGGTACACTATGGTACCAAGAAGAATCTCTCTCTCTGGTTTAGACCATGTCGGGTCATGGAAAGGTAAGAGTTGGGTATTAGTATTCAGGTACATAATTATAGGCAAGGACTATACTCATACCTTATGTCCACATGGCAGTCTCCTAATGAAGCAGAGTATACAGTGAGAACACATAGAACTCTCCTGTTCCTCGGTACCTCCACCCCTATTTTGAGCCTGGCAACAGGGAAGAGTCTTAGGTTGGTAAAGATACTTAAAAGGCCAGAGCCCCTGTCCAATGTGAGTCCTTGCCCAGTTTGTAATCTGTTCATTTGTGACTGAGCTGCTGATTTTTGTTTGGAGTCACTTGAAGACATGTAGTACAGAAGGTCATGTATGTGGTTTTGCTTTAGTTTGATTCCATTCTCTTCTCTGTTTCTCACCTGCATAATGATCTTAAAAATTGTAGATCATAGCTCCTTGTATTACTTATCAATTTTGTTAGTCTCATTCAGCATCCCAATTCACTTATTCCTTTCTCTTATATCTATGGGTCTTAGACAGATTAAAAAAAAAACTCGTTTTCTCTTGCTCCTTCCTCCCAAATACAATCCCACACTATTATTTACTAAGAATATATATCAAAAGAGTTAGTCAAAGTGTAAGGAAGGTGAATTCGTTTTCAAATCTCTCGTTCTGATTAAGAAATATGACACTCTGGAAGCACACAAAGTCCTTTAATGATGTAACTAACCATCACATATCAGATAACTCCAGTGAAATGTTTGTGTGCTGTTTGCACAAAGGTTCTAAATGCATGGAATAGTAACAAAAAGTGGGGACAAATAGAAGTTGGTAAGAAAAATTTAGAAACTAAAACTGGACAGTAGTGGTGCATGACTTTAATCCAGCAATTGGGAAGCAGAAGTAGGCAGATCTCTGAGTTCAAAGCCAGCCTGGTCTACAGAGTGAGTTCCAAGACATCCAGAGCTGTTACATGGAGAAACCCTGTCTTGAAACACCAGCCCCAAAATTAGAAAGTGGAGTGAATAAAGCTAGTAGAATTGTGGAGTGTGACAATGAATTCAGTCTTGAGACAAACATGAAACAGCCAGGTTGTGTTCTTTTGGATAAAAAAAAAAACAGAGTAAAATAGATGAAAATAGGGGTTTTGACCATGAAACTACAGTAAAGAGTAGAAACAAATTGGGTTGGACAAAGCAGAGGGAAAATGGAAATTGACATCCTGTTCCTTTGCCATCCACCTGGATATGGTGTTTGTATGGGGACAGAATTGGGAAAGGCCCATTTTTGTTCATCTGGATGTCTATCCCATGATGGGGCTCCCTGTATTAAACAGGCTGTTCTGTTCCCTCTATCATAAATGAAACCCATGTGTATAAGGGTCTCAGTTTGGTTCTGCTTCCTGTCTTCTGCAATTCAACTTGTACCAACATCACACTTTCTTAATCATTGACTCTTCCTGTCTTGATAGAAATCAGAAAATTCTTGTACCTCCTTTTATTCATATACAATTTGTAAGGATGATCACAGATTAGTTAGCACACCCATAACTATCCATGTTTTACATTAGATCCTCAGAACTTTCTTATGTTGTAGCTAAAAGTTTAGACCTTTTGATCAACATCTCATTTCCTTGTACTGCCTGCCATGTTCCTGGCAACCACAGGGCTAGGCCCAAATTTTATGGGTTAACCACTTTAGATTTAACATGTAAGATCATGAAGCAGTTTTTCTCTATCTGGTTGCTTTTATTTGATATATCCATTCAAATTTTAAAAAATTCCCATTTTTGTGACTGAAGACTTTCCACTGTATACATGTACACATTGTGTGCATAAATGATTCTGTGTGTGCTTATGTATGTATGCAAATGTGTGTGCATGCATGCATGCATATGACACATTTTTACTTTTATCTGTTGATGGACATTTTGCTATTAACATATATTAGTAATTGTGGGACTGCTGTTGTCTCTTTGACAAACTGATTTCATTTCCTTTGGACATATAATCCTAGTCCTGGAACTGCTGGATCATAAGTAAGCCTATTTTTAATTTTTTGAAGAAAGCTTCACATTTTCCATCATTTCTACACTAATTCACATTCCTATAACTGGTAAGTATTTTCCTTTTTCCACATTCTTACCAGCACTTGTGATTTTTTATGGTTGTTATTGTAGCTGGGCTGAGTTGATAATCTAATTTTGAACTTCCCTGATGGTTAACAATGTTGAACATTTTTCATATATTTGTTGGCCATCTGTTGCCTTCTTGAAAATATCTATTAATCTTTTTTGAAGGTTTATTTAATTTTATTTTATATGTATGGGTATTTTGTTTGCATGTATGACTATGCACAATGTTTGTGCAATGCGTACAGAGACTAGACGAAGGTGTAAGATCCTTTGAAACTAGGGTTAGAGATGGTTGTGAGATACTATGTAGGTTCTTGGAACTGAACCTCAGTGCTCTGCAAGCAGCTAGTGATTGTAACCACTGAACCATCTCTCCAGACTCTTGATCGTTTTAAAGTTGAATAACTTGCTTTTTTTGTTGCTAAGTCTTTGAGTTCCTTATAATATATTCTTATGTATTTACTATTTTATATTTATTGTCAAATTCATTTTATTTGTCTCTTTTGATGTTGTATGAAAATCAAATTGATTTTGTGTTTTGACACCATATCCAGATTTTCTAATATGTAGATTTTTAAAGTTTTTATATAGATATATTATTTGCAGATAGTATTAACACCAGTTCTTATTTTTAACTCTTATATCAATTTATGAATAAAGCTATTGTAAACATTATTGCAGTTTTTGTATGTTGATAAATTTTTAATTCCTCTGGATAAATTAGGAATTCAATCACTGGGCCATATGGTTGAAAATAGGTTTAGGTTTTCATAAAACTACCATACTATCCTCCAAGGTGATCATATAATTTTGCATTCTTACCAGCTAGGAGTTATAGTTCCTTTCACTCTACATCTTCACTAGTATGGGGTGGTGTCAGTAGTCTGACTTCTAGCCATTCTATTGGTTATTTCATTTTTATTTCCTTAATATCATGTGATGTAGAGTATCTTCTCATAAGTTTATTTGCCATTTGTACATAGTCTATAGTAAGATGTCTGTTATGCCCATTTTTAGTAAGATTCTTTCTTTATTGTTTATTTTAAAAGTTCTTTGTATGTGTTGTATGGCAGTCTTTTATCAGGGATGTTTACTTCTGAAATGTCTTTTCCTAATTTGTTCTTGCTTTCCCTTTCTCTTGATAGTGTTATTTTTTAAAGAAAAATAATGACATCAGTTCTTTTTTTTCATCACTAGATACAAGATCTTCTGTTTTATTGTAATAGCAGTGCCGTAGTTTTTCATTTTACAGTTAAGCCTAAGATCTACTTAGAGCTAATTTTGTGAAAGGTATAGGGTCTCTGTTTAGATTTCTTTTATAAGTGGGCATTCAATTGTTCCAGCACCCGATGAAAAGATAATGTTTTCTACAGTGCATAGCATTCACTTCCTTTTTTTGTTTTTCGAGACAGGGTTTCTCTGTAACTTTGGTTCCTGTCCTGGAACTATCTCTGTAGACCAGACTGGTCTCGAACTCACAGAGATTTGCCTGCCTCTGCCTCCCGAGTGCGGGATTAAAGGCGTGCGCCACCATAGCCCGACTGGCATTCACTTCTTTTTCAAAGTTTAGCTGAACATATTATGTGGCTCTACTTTAGCATTCTTGATTGCAGTTTATTGAAATATTTGTCTGTTCTTTCACCAGAGTTTTAAGAAAAAATTCTAGGCTCCAGAGAGGATCCCAGTGGACTAGGTTCCACTTGCCTGTTTGAATATGCTAATTAAAGAAGTAGACAGAGAAAGAATTTTTAACCAATGGGATTACGCTAGATCAAACAAAAAAAAAAAAAACGAAAACAAAACAGATTAAAAAATAGATTCATTGACCCCAGGTCTATCTTAAGGAAATTTTAAGAATTTATAGGAGAGGAAATAAATCAGAAAGAATTGAGGCATCCATAGCTGAGGGAATGATGATGTTAGATAGCTGACAGAGTAGGTAATCTTCTTCAGCCTGGTGATATGAGCAACCATTATCTCAGTTCTGGTTTTAGAGAAGTTGTTATCACAGTCATAATTCGAAGGAAACAATCTGGTTTCCATGAGATGATCGCTCCTGCTCAAGGGTGTTGTCTCTATTCCCTTCATGGAGAAATTGCCTCCATTTGGGGGACAACATTATGGGAGTAATCTGTTCTTTGAGGCACATCATTTCTTGGGGATACTTTCAATCTTTTGTTATAATGACATTTGCTCATTAGCCCTGACCTTCTTAGAATTCAAGGTACCTGAAGAAGAGTGGGAGTTAGAGGGAAAAATTTAGAAAGGGAAAATAGAGCCAGAGTGAAATAAAATGGACTTAGGCTAGTAACTGAGTTTTCGTTTAGTACGACACTGTCTTGATTACCATAGCATTAGAATAAATAATGAAATCAGATAGTGTCAGTTCCTATTATTCCAGAAAAAAATATTGTTTTCAATGTGTCTTCTTAATCATGTCCTATGTAAACAGAGATGAGATTTTGGTGTTTTGTGACATGAAGTCTTAAATTGCCCAAACTAACTTCAAACTCATCATGTACCCTAGATTGGCCTTGAACTCTTGGCAACCCTCCTGCTTTAGTCTCCTGAGTGCTGGAGTTATAGGCATGCACCACCATGCCTAGCAACAAAGAGAAGCTTAATTTCTTCCTTCCTAATCTGTATATTTTTCTTTTCTTGTCATATTTCATCTTTTAGTACTCATAGTACAATGTTAAAAAGCAGTGTGAAAAGGGAACATCCTTGATTTTTTTTCTTATTTTTAGGATGAATGTTTGGAGTTTCCTACCACTAATTATGTCATTAGCTATAGGTTTCTTTGTATGTTTTCCCTTGCTTCCTTTCATTTTCCCCTTTCCCCTCCTCTCTCCTCCCTCCTTCCCTCCTGCTTCTCTCCCTTCATCCCTTCTGTTCCTCATTACCTTTCTTCTTTAGTACTACAGATTAAACTCATGGCCTTGAGCATGCTAGGCAGTTACTCTTCCACTAGCTACAACCCCTGCTCTGTAACTTTTTTTTTTACCAAGCTGAGGACATTCCTCTTTTTTCCTAGTTTACTGAGATTCTGTTCCTTCCTCTCTTTCTTCCTTCTTTTCTTGATTTCTTTTTCTTTAAACAATGTGTATGTTTGAGTGTTTGGTTATGTACATGCTAGTGCAGGTACCTATAGAGGTCAGAGGCATTGACTGTCCTTGGAACTGCAGTTACAAGCACCTATGAGCCACTGATGTGGGACCTGGAAACTGAACTCAGATCTTTGAAAGAGCAAAACTTGCTCTTAAATAAACACTCAGCCATTTGTCCAAACCCTTTTTCTTATTAAAATCATGAATGGGTATTGGATTTTGTCACATGGTTTTTCTTTATCTGTGGATATGATTTGTAATTTTATTAGCCCTTTCTGAGTATCAGAAGTTTATTTAGCAAAAAAAGTCACATTAAAAATGCACATGACCCAATTTTGCACCATAGTTAAACAGGCTCTTTGGGGTAGGCATGGACTTTTAGGCTGAACACCTATTGTTTAGGGTCTTTCCAAGGCTTCTAACATGAGGATGTTGTTTACTCATATTATCACCATTCCAGTGTTAATGTGTTAATCTGCTGCCCACTATATGACATCTACACATACTCATCAATCTCAAGATACATAAAGGGGTCAAAGCCCCACAGTATACCTTAAACTTAATAATGAGGAATATAATGATTGATTTTCAAATGTTTAACCAGACTTGCATAACTATTATAAATACTACTTGTTCATATTAGATAATTTTTCTTAAGCACCATCAAATCAAATTTATTAGTATTTTTAGAATGTTTGCCTTTATATTTATGAAATATCTTGATCTATAGTTTCCTTATAATATCTTTGACTTTGTATTAGAGTAATTCTGGCCTTGATGAGTTAAGAAGTACTCAATATGCCTTATAGACATTTCTTCTTTCAGTTCAACAACTATTCTAAATTTTGTTTCACTACCACATCTGTGTAATAAGTTTCTGATTCTAGATTAGTTCAAATATCTGTCTTCCTGCGCCCATACCTGGGTATCTGATTATGGTTGCAAAAGAGCTCAACTGAGTCCTTAATGCAAAACACAATGCTGTTGTTCTATGCTAAACTTGTTTTCTTACTTACTACAAATTGATATTTCAAACATTTTCTCCTGAAACTCACAGGTCTATCTCCACTATATTCAAGCTCAGAAGACTTTTTTAAAATAAATTCAGCAAATACTTGTTAATTACTTGCTGTATTTCCTTCTGATTTATGAAGAGAACCAAAATCATTACACAGCATAAGTATCTTTAGAATCTGGACTCATTTTCCATCTCTTGGGGAATGGTTTCTGACTTCCAGCTACATTTAATAGCAAGCTTTTTGTATGGAAATTATGTATTATGCATCCCTGCTTCTCCGGAGCTATAGGCATAGGCCCTGGGGAGGATTTAGACTTGGATTTTAGTTTCAATGGATATTGTCTTGTAGCACTCACCACTCCAGACTCTGTCTTTCAGGTGATGTACAAAGCCAGTCCCTGAGACACAGGGATAAGCGGCTCAGTTTAAATCTGGTAAGTTTGACCGTTTTGTTCCTTTAGGTTTCAGTTTGACCAGAAATAATCTGACCTATATGTGATATTTTCTTTAAGTCTTCTGAGATTCGGTACTCTGAATCTCTGAGAACTCTTTCAGTAATCCCCTAAAGATTTGAACTGATTTAGGTCATTATTAAAGCACTGTATTATACTTGAAGCATGTATTGTTATTTTGCTCGTTGCTATGAAAAAAGTACTTGACCAAAGCCACTTAAGAGAAAGGTTCATTTTGCTTCATGGTTTATTTAGTTCAGGATTCCAAGATTCAAAGAGGTTGGCACTGTATACATTCAGAGTGGGATCTCCCTTTTCCGTTAAATCTCTCTAGAAATACTCCCAAAAATGTATCTCCGAGGAATCCCAAATCCAGCCAAGTTGATAATCATAATTAAGTTCCACAGAGCAAATCACTAATTCAAAATTATTAGTGTCCTAGCTTCAGATCTTGGAGAGTTATCTATTCTCATGTGGATTCAGACACAGAATTTTGACTAGGTGTTTGTCCAATTTTCACTAGAAAATTCAGAGTTACTCTGGGGGTAATTTGGAACTGAAACTGAATGCACAGCTATAGTGCCTACTAGTATCAGTTTGCATTTGTGGTCTATAGTTTCCAACCTATACTTATTCTGTCTTGCAGCCATGTAAGTTTTCGCCAATGTATCCCACAGCTTCACTCACTGTTGAAGACAGCTATGTGCCCATGAGCCCCAAAGGCACTGTTTCTAGTCTGAGGCCCCATTATAGCCAGGATGACTACATCCCAATGAACTCAAGCATGCTACCCGAGTTACCTGCAGATTTGGAGCCACCTCCAGTGAACAGAGATCTCAAGCCCCAGAGGAAATGTAAGGCATTTGACTAGGATTGTTGTGTTGGGTAGGAGGGCAAGCTCCTTCCTTATTAGAAAGAGTCAGGAAGTGTTGGCACACACCTTTAATTCAGCACTTCAATGGCAGAGGCAGGCAGATCTCAGTGAGTTTGAGGCCAGCCTGGTCTACAAAGTGAGTTCCAGGAGATCAAGGACTGTTACATAGAAACCCTGTCTCGAAAAACAAAAAAGAAAAAGAAAAAAAAAGATTATTAGAAAGAAATAGGGAAGAATTAGGATGTTGGGAGTACCTTACGTTCCAAGATTGTTATGATAAAAAGAGCCAGGGAACCTAAAGGTACTCAGTCAGGCTCTGAAAATGCAACCTACAAATTCAAGTTCATACCAGAGGGCTTAGTTTTTGCTTAATTTCCATAATGAAATACCAGGAGTAAGCGGTGAGAATCATAATGGAAGCCACAAAACATCTCATTTAAATAGCTTTTGAATGTATAATGCTAGTCCTCTGGAAGGCAGCCTACTATATATAGTCTTTGACAGCAATTCCTTAATGTCCTTCATACTCAAGTTCATTTTATAACTTATTGCTCTGTCGATACCACATGTCAGCAGGGGTAGTGGTATGGAAAGACTTCAACTGTAAACCACATGACTACTGTGTTCACAGTGCAACCTTTAGCTCCTGTGTTACTACTCCCAGGCAGCCCTTCTGATCTGCTAAGCATCATAGACATACAAGGATAAGAAAAAGAAAAAGAAAAAGAAAAACAGATCAAAGTGAATTCTTTTTATTTTTTTTTGAAATTCCTTTATGTATGTGGGTATTTTGCCTGCTTTTATCTCTGTGACCCACATGCATTCGATGTCCACAGATGCCATAAGAGAGCATCAAATCCCCTGGAATTGTAGTTACAGGCAGTTTGAACTACCATGTAGGTGCTGGGAACAGAACTGGATCCTCTGGAAGAGCAGTAAGTGTTCTTAATCACTGAGACATCAAAACAATTTGGCAGCAAGAAGGTCTCTGTCAGCATGGTTTTCTTCTCATGTAGTTTAGTGGAGGAAATAGATATCAAAGCAGCCAGATAGGCCACTGAGGCAAGTACTAAATATGGAGGCTGCTGCCTTGAGCAAACCAAAAGGAAACCATGCCATCTGGGGTCACATTCTAAAATACAGTCAAATAATCACAGTTGTCGTTTCATTATAAACTGTGGGGAGAATGCATGGAGCATAAGCAAACAAAAGCATGAGGCCTGTGGTGTGGGATCTGGCACTGTCTGGAGGCTAGAGAAGGCCACCCAAAAAAGGGTCCATTGAACTGAGATGTGAAGATGAGTAACTAGGGAACAACATGAGGAAGAATATTTAGGTGAGAGGACCCTTAGAACCTGGTGATCATTTCTGCTTCTTAAGACATGTAGAGTGTCTGGAATACATTGATCTTCCTGAGGTTACAGATTTCTGTGTATTGGGTTAATACTGTGTTTCCAGTTTGGTTTCCATTGTGATTCATGACTGAGTTCCCAATACATGTTTGTTGACTAAATGTATACTATGAGACCATTTATTCAATAGTTGTCCTTATCCCCAGGGAGCCAGGCAAGAATGGAATGCTAAGCTTCTCACTCATCATCAGTAATTTCTGTTAGTATATTCTAATTTGGCATGTAAAGAAAGAGGATTATGATAACTTTTATAATCTTTAAATTCCCTGCTTAAAATTACTGAGTACTAACTATACCGAATACCTGTACTGTTTTTTATAGTACGGCCACCTCCCTTGGACCTGAGAAACCTTTCCACCATCCGAGAACACACATCTCTAACCAGGACTCACACTGTGCCTTGGTAAGCCTCAAATCTTAGATCTCTTGTGGTTGAAACTCATTTCATCTTGCTTAAGGGAGCCAAAGGAGGAGTCGGTCTTGTGATCAAGAATCATGAGTTTCTAGACCACAAAGGATGGTATGTGACTGGGTTCTTCTGGATTCTGAAGCCTGGAAATAGCAGTGTCGGGGACGTTTCTCTCTTCCTTCTGTACCTATTCTCTGAAGAGCTCTTTTCTTTGTTGCATGATCCTGCTCTGTATTAGTCGGGGTTTTTCAAAGAAATAGAACTGATAGAACAAATATGTATATATTAAAAGAGAATTTGTTAAAGTGCTTTACAGGATGTGGTCTGAGTAATTCAACAATGGTTGTCTCCCAACAGGAAGGCCAGGAATACAGTAGTTGTTCAGTCTATGATGCTAGATGTCTCAAAAGTTCTAATCTGGTGTTGGAGTCCCAGGGAATTCTCAGAGAGATCCTGGTCTTTAGTCTCCATTAGAATCCTAAAGAAATAGGTTCTAACACCAGTGAAGGAATGCCTAAGCATCAGGATAGATGAACTTGCTAATGAGAGTGAAGGCAAGCAGTAAAAATGCAAAAGCTTTATTCCACATTTTTTTATGTGAGCTGCCATCAGGGTGTGGCCCAGATTTAGGGTGGGTTTTCTCACCTCAAATGATAGAATAAGCAACATCCCTCACATCTGTGCCCAGCTGCTTGTGTTTTAGTTGATTCTAGAAGTAGTCAAGTTGTCCAATATTATTAACTACAGACTCCAAGATTACTTACATGCTTCAATTCCAGAACCAACAAAGATGGACTATTTTTATAATCCTAATACAGACTTCCAAGGGAGACAAAATTAAGGGATTCTGTCAGATTGGAATAAAGTAGTGCACAGATAGCACTACTAACTAGAGAATTCCAAGTTTATGAATTGTATCTGAGAAAAGAACTTTCAGAGAAAATGGGATTGTTTATGGGCTAGGTACACAAACCTTAACACACATGTGCCTGTTCATTTTACCTTCTATAAGCTGCATTTTCCTAGCTCATGATAAATGCCACAGGACATGGTAACTTTTTTTTGAGGTAGGGTCTCTCTATGTAGCACTGGTTGGCCTGGTGTTCACTATGTAGACTATGAAGGCATTGAACTCACATAAATCTGCCTTTTTCTGCTTCCTGTGTTCTGGGATTAAAGGTAAAGGGATGCACCACCATACCCACACAGACATGCTAACTTTGTAAAGCAGAATTCTGCAGAGAGCTTCATTTCCAGGCTGAGCTGTAGAGACACATAGCCTGTTATTCTGTCTCAGAAGGAAGTCAGAAATTAATATACTGTCTTTCTTGTCCTTTCAGATGAATGAGTACACTTTCATTCTTCTGGCTACTTTGATAGCAAAAAGACCCCAAGGAAGGGGAGGGTTGTTGTCATCTGGTTGTTTTTTTTTTTTGTTTAGATTTTGCTTTGGAATATTTTTTTTATTCTATCAGTCAGCTTTATTACTTTGAAGCATTTTTCTTAATTTGTTGTTGTTTACTAAATAAGATGTATTTGTATGTGTTACATGATGGGCTTAGGAAAAAAATAGTTGGGAAGCATTTGCTCCAGGGTGGGAGAGGGCTACTGGGAAGTGTCTTCTTCAAGAATTGTTTGGGCCAAAAGGAAGCTATGTCTGGAAGGGGAGGACTCAAACCCCACAGGGCTGTGTCTGTTCCTGGCTATGTTTCACAGCAGCTGTAAGACATTGCATTGACTTCATCTGTATTTTTTGGTCTTAGCAATCGAACCAGCTTTCTCTCTTCACAAAGAAATGGTATTAATTCTGCAAGATTTTTTGCCACTCCTTCTTCCAAAGAAGAAGAAGAAAGCTACATCCAAATGGTAAACTTGTATTTTTTATGTTCTTTTTCCTCTCCAAATCTATAATCTTGAGAGTTCGTTATGATAAAAGCACATTCCTCAGAAGTCTCTGTTCAGTCATAAAGCACACTTGATTGTAAAACCAGGTCACCCTTTTTTTTTAGATTGGGAGCAAATTAATTTGAAGCTAATTTACTTTTTTCTTTTTAAAAGTGTATTGTAAGGGTGTGCATGTGTGTAGTATATGTGTATGCATATGTGCATATTTGGTGCATGTGCACATGTGTATGCACATACATGTGAAGGCCAAAGGTTGACATCAGGAGTCTTCCATTATCTCTGTTCGCCTTACCATTTTTCCCATAATCTTAGGATAGGGTCTCTCATTGAACCCAAAGCTCACTGATTTGCTAGGCTGCTTGGCCAGAGAATTCCAGGGATTCATCTGTCTTCTCTCAACCCTGTACCTGAAATATAGATATATGTAATCATGCCTATATTTTATGTGAGTTCTGGAGATCTGAACTGAGACCCTAACATTTGAGTGCAAAGCACTTTATCTTCAGAGCCACGCCTCAGCTCCCTTAAAGTTGGTTTTCTTTCTTGCAGTATTCAGCTTTTTATACCATTTGAAGTCCACATTATTTCATGAGAACCTAGGACCTAAAGTCTGTGTTATGGAAAATAGAAATGGTAGCCGATTCTTTTTTCAGAAAACTGTGATGTTCTGTATGATTCCAATGGGTTTGTAATTCTCTAAATGTCCAAAGTCCAGGCTGTGAAAACAAGTTTCTTGGAGGCTTTATTTTATAAAAACACCTGCCTCTGAACTTTCTGAAGATTTTTCTTTTAGGGTCTTTCTGTAGACTTGAGTGTGTAAAGATGTTACATGTTTGTCCTTTGATTAGCCATTCACAATTCAAGAGTGTTAATATCTTCTTTTTGTCCTGTTGCCCTATTCTCTTAATGTGGATTCTTTAGCTAGAACTGTATCTATTCACAAAATAGAAATGGGAAATTCCAGAGAGAATTTCACTATAAACATTAGGTTTTGAAGAGATCTTCTCCATCCTGCTAAGCCAGGATGATGTTCAAGACACTGATATATACTCTTAAGAAGATAATCTTATCCTCCTATGTATGAGGAGACAAGGCGATTAAAGTACATTGTGTGCATTATGAAATTTTCAAAGGATGTATTAAAATATTATATAAAAATAAAAGTCTAAAATGGATTACCTCTAGGACAGTAACAGCTGACTGCTTCATTTTGTCTTATTTGATAAAAGTTGTGCTGTGATTCACTTAACTATATGCAGGTGGGAAGTGACTCATATATAAATCTGCTGTGTTCTTCCCAATATTTCTTACATTTAGTAATAGCCCTTGGGAAACTTCTAGAAGAAAATATTCTTGTAAAGGATCCTGAACAGCTGTGCTCTGTCTCTGGAGAACAGAAAAGGGAAGTAAACCTAAAACATTATGGAAGCAAGTGTAAAGTTATTCCAGACACCAGCAGTTTGCTTTTGATATTTGAGACAGTAAGACTGGTAATTTCATAAACAACACAGTTAAATACTGATTACTTGCATAAATGTGTATAGGTTGTCAATGAATGTGTATTACTGAACAAATTGACACAGAAGTTGAAGAGCAGGCAATAGTGGTTGATGGTAGATGTGAGCAAATTACTATGTGAAAAAGGTGAGGGGGGTGTCTTACCTCATTCAGCTGCATTTGTTTTAACTTCAGTTTACAATATACTCTGAAATGACTTGCTTATACCTTGTGCCACACAATTTCCCAGTATGATAGTCACAGCTAACATGATGGCTTACAACCAGTTTGGATTTTAATCAAATAAGGAGGTTGTGGAGGTCCCTGGTACAGTTTTTCTTGGTTTGCAGTTCTCTGAGTTTGGGTATATAGAGATAGATGAATTTAGATAGACAGATAGATGGGAAAGAGGGAGGGAGGGAGGGAAGAAGAGAGGGAGGTAAACAGAAAGAAAGAGAGAGAGAATGCTGAACATTGTGCCATCAACCCCAGATATTCACACATTCTATCTCTTTATACTCTTTATACCAACTCCTGGTATCAACTGATCTATTCTTTATAACTATCATTTTGGATTGTCAAGAATGTTACATAGAGAGAATCATACAATACTTTTGAGTCTGGCCTAATTTACTCAGAATATGATCTGAAATTCATCCAAATTGATACACATGTCACTACTGTTTCATTGCTGAGTAACATTCCCTTGTATGGATTGTCCACATTTTGTTTACGCACTCACCCACTGAGGAACATTTGGTCTCTTTCAAATCCAGGGGCAAGTAGAACAGTTATAAACAGTTTATATTATTTAATATACAATTTATTATAGTAAAATACATGTAGCACAAAAATTGCCATTTTATGGGTTTTGATCCTACTGCACGTACTGGCTTTGTGAGAGCCTAGGCAGTTTGGATGCTCACCTTACTAGACCTGGATGGAGGTGGGTGGTCCTTGGACTTCCCACAGGGCAGAGAACCCTGATTGCTCTTTGGGCTGACAAGGGAGGGGGACTTGATTGGGGGAGGGGGAGGAAAATGGGAGGCAGTGGTGGGGAGGAGGCAGAAATCTTTAATAAATAAATAAATATTGCCATTTTAACCATTTTGAAGTATATGATTAACTATGTTACTTATACTTCACCACTGTTCATTTCCAGGCTATTTTTATCATTTCAAGCACAAACTCTGTGCCCAATAAAAACTCACTCCCTGTTCACTTTCCCCAAGTCCCTGGTAACTTCTGTTCTATTTTACATCTTTATATTCTAGGTCCTTTATAAAAGTAAGGCTAGCGCTGTTAAGATGGCTCAACAGATAAAGATACTGACCAACAACTGTTATGACCTGAGTCTTCTTCCAATATGGAGGCAGCCAACCGTGTGTTGTGGCCTGTGTGTGCACACACAAACTAATAAATGTTTAAAAAGTAGAAGCATACAATATTCTTTTGTATCTGTCTTTCATTTAGCATAGTGTTTTTAATATTCATATATGTAATGTGTGTGAATATTATTTAATAAGATCATACTATATTTTCTTTGTCCACTTACTGTTTGGTGGACATATAGGTTGTTTCCAACTTTGGGCTGTTGTGAATAATGATACTGTAAACATCAGATACAAAAATATATCTGAGTACCTGCTTTCTCAAATCTTTTGAGTATTTGCCTACAGGTGGAATTGTTGGACCATATACATACAGTCTATGTTTTAAGGAAACACCAAAATTGTCTTCTACAATGACCATGCCATTTTACATTCCTACTAGCAAAACCCAAAGATTTCAAATTTCTCCACATCTTAACATTTTTACTCTCCCCCTTTTTGTAATAATTACCCTAATCAATATGAAGTGGGTTTCATTTGTCTTTTCCAAATTAGTAATGACATTATATATCTTTAATGTACTTGTTTACCATTTTGTTATCTTCTTTTATTAGTTTTTGTTACTGAGTTTCAGGTGTTTCTTCTATGTTATGAACATTAACCCTTATCTGTAGTAGGAGCTGTGGGCTGCATTCCTGCTGCCCAGCTGGGCCGTCTGGCTAGCTTATGCCCCAAAATAACAACACACAAACTGTATTCTTTTAAACACTGCTTGGCCCATTATATCTAGCCTCTTCTCAGCTAACTCTCGCACCTGGACTAGCCCATTTCTAATAATGTGTGTAGCACCCCCAAGGTGCGCTTACCGGGAAGATTCTAGCCCATGTCCATCCTGGGTCAGAGCTTCATCGTGTCTGCCCAGGAGAGGGGAGCATAGCAACTGAGCTCACTTCCTCTTCCTCCCAGAATTCTGTTCTGTTTACTCCACCCACCTATGTTCTAACCTATCAGGGCCAAGCAGTTTCTTTATTAATGAACCAGTGACCTTTCTCCATCACTTATCAAGTGCATAATTATAATTTATAGATCTTTTCCCAGTTCTCTGAGTTGTCTTTTCACTCTATCATCTTTTCCCTAAACTTTGGAATCTTCTACAGGCTTTTATGTGGATAAGATTTTTCTTTTTGTTGTTTTTTTTTATTTTTATTACTTTAAAAATAATATCAATTAAAATTCCCACTTTCTCCCCTCCTCCCACTTCCCTCCCACTCCCACCACACCATCCTCTTCCCCTTTTCCTCTTTGCCCTGTGGAAGTCCAAGGCCCTCCCCACTACACCAGGCTTAGGAAGGTGTGCATCCAAAGATAATAGGATCCAAAAAAGCCAGTACATGCAGTAGAGACAAATCCCAGTACCATTATCATTGGCGCCTTAGTCTACCCCAACTGTCAACCACATTCAGAGGGTTCAGTTTGATCCCATGCTCATTCATTCCCAGTCCAGCTGGAGTTGGTGAGCTCCCATTAGCTCAGGCACACCGTCTCAGTGGGTGAACCCCTCATGGTCCTGACTTCCTTGCTCATATTCTCCCTCCTTCCTTTCTTCAACTGGACCTTGGGAGTTCAGTCCAGTGCTCCAATGTGGGTCTCTGTCTCTGTCTCCATCCATCGCCAGACGAAGGTTCTATGGTGATATTCAAGATATTCATCAGTCTGACTATGGGACAAGGCCAGTTCAGGCACCTTCTCCACTGCCCAGGGTCCTAGCTGGGGTCATCCCTGTGAACTCCTGGGAACCCCTCCAGAGCCAAGCCTCTTGCCAACCCCAAAATGGCTCTCTCAATTAAGATATCTCCTTCCCTGTTCCCAAATCCATGCTTCTTCCATCTCAACCATCCCATTTCCCCAATCTCTCCCCAGCCCTTCCCTTATCCCCTCTCCCTCCCCATCTCCCCTTCCCTCTATCCTCTTCCCCCCATGCTCCCAACTTTTGCCAGGCGATCTTGTCTGCTTCCAATTTCCAGGTGAATCTATATAAGTTTTTCTTTGGGTTCTCTTTATTTAGCGTCTCTAAGAACCCGAATTATAGGCTCAATGTTCTATATTTATGGCTAGAAACCAAATATGAGTGAGTACATCCCATGTTCCTCTTTTTGGGTCTGGCTTACCTCACTCAGGATAGTGTTTTCTATTTCTATCCATTTGCATGCAAAATTCAAGATGTCATTGTTTTTTACTGCTGAGTAGTACTCTAATGTGTAGATGTGCCACACTTTCTTTATCCATTCTTCCATTGAAGGGCATCTAGGTTGTTTCCAGGTTCTGGCTATTACAAATAATACTGCTATTAACATAATTGAACAAATGCTTTTGTAGTATGATTGGGCATCTTTTGGGTATATTCCCAAGAGTGGTATTGCTGGATCCTGATGTAGGTTGACTCCATTTTTCTGAGAAACCGCCACACTGATTTCTGGTCCCCTCAGTACTGGAGCAGGGTCGATTGCAGGGTTCCAAGGACCTCGCAGATGAAAAGGCAGGCTTGGGGGCAGGGTAGAATGGGAGAAAGAAAGCCCAGCAGCAGGAATATTCCCGCTGGCTCTCTGGTCCCCTCAGCTCTGAAGCAAGTTGTGTTGCCAATTTTTCTTTTCTTGAGGGCAGTAGTTCTGAATTGACTATGATTTTGACCCTCAAAGGTCATTGTCAGTGTCTAGATACAAAACTAGAGTAAAAAGAGATGGTGCAATTGGTTTATAGTGGGAAATATTAAGAAGTGCTGCTACAGGGGCTAAAGAGATGTTTCAATAGTTAAGAGCAACTGTTCTTACAGGGGACCTCAGTTCAGTTTCCAGAACCCATGTTGTAGCTCAATACCAACTGTAACTCCAGTTCTAGGGAATTTGATGCTCTCTTCTGACCTCTGTGGGCACCCAGCATGTGTGTGTCACATAAATAAAAGTAGACTAAACACTCATACAAAAAAAAATAAATAAAAATTAAAAGAAATGTTGTTAAATATTCTACAGTGAACAGTACATTCCCTTAAGGGGGAAAAACGAAACTGTCCAGCTTAAAATGTAAAGATATTACCGTTTAGGTGTGCATAACTAAGTTTTAGGTCAATGTTTCTCAACCTTCCTAATGCTGCAACCCTTTAATTCAGTTCCTCATGTTGTGGTGACCCCCAACCATAAAATTTTTGTTGCTACTTTATACCTTTAATTTTGGAAACAGTAACTGTCTCAGAGTCTAAGAATATGTACTTGTGTCATTATTAGCCTGTGGTCGTGACACATAGATTCTACACTCTTCATCTAAAGAACCCTTCTCCTCAATACACACATTATTTTATCAAAGTTATATTTAACTTTGAAAGATACTTAGTAAAATATCTTTGTATCTTTATAAGACACTTTCTAAAGCATACTTTATAAGATATTGGCATAGTGACTGCAGCATTTTGTCCTCCTGCTAGTAAAGTATGAGAATTTCAGTGTTTCTACATCCTTGTCTATATGCTTGCAATTACTAAATTTTTAAAAATTTAGGCATTCTAATAGGTGTATAGTGATATCTTAGTGTGGCTTTAGTATTTATTTTTGTAAAAATAACAGCCATAATTTATACAAAATATTATGTTTCATTATGACATTTTCATCCTTAGTCACCTTTCTACTCCCATATAATATTCATTTAGCTATAGTCACCTTAAAGTGTCTATATCCCACTTATAGTGTTGTTAATAATTGATTTCTCCCACATTATGCACCTAGGAACAGTTGCAATTCTCTGCTTCTCAAAGGGTACTATTTTTCACTATACACTGAGGTAGGACAAGCATGGTGACAGTTATAGTTAGGTCTTTCCTACTCACTCTAAAACATGATCTGTTTATATTTAAAATTCTCTGGCATACTATCAATAGTTAATAAAAATCAGTCTATTCAGTCTTCTTAAGTCCTTGGAAAGGAACATAGGTCAAAGGTCACCTTGGGCTTTATTGCTGTAGGTAAGACATCAAACGTCATGTTGAAAAAGTTGAACATGAACACTTTTGTCTCATTCCCAATATTTGAGGAAAGCCGTCAGTTTTTTCCCATTTAGTGTATTGCTGGCTGTAGGTTTGTTCACTGAAAGAAGCCATATTCGTATAGATAAATATCATGTTTTCTGTCATATGTACAATACAAAGAAAAAGACAAACAAAAAATAAAAATGGACAATACTAGGCATTATTATATACTAAGGATATGTATTATATGGGTTTTTGTTTTGTTTTGTTTTGTTTTTCCAGACAGGGTTTCTCTGTGTCGTCGACTGTCCTGAACTCACTTTGTAAAGCAGGCTGGCCTCAAACTCACAGAGATTCCCCTGCCTCTTCCTCCCGAGTGCTGGGATTAATGGCGTGCACCACCACTGCCAAGCTATATATATTAGTTATTAAAGCTAGGCAACTTATACCAGGAAATTACATTAGGGGAGATGGTAAAAAAGAGGACAGATAAGAAAGATCTGAGTTAGGCAGCTGTCCTCTATATTCAGGATCTTGGGCCTTTAAACCCATGCACAGCTCCCTTATTATCTCACCAGGACCAGGGCAATTATACTCTCCTACCTTGTTCCCCAGCATGGAAGGCTCTGCAATATGAGCCACCTACCGTGCCAGACCTGCTAGTTCATCCACCCAAGCCATAGTGTAGGAGGAAGGAAAGCTAGTTTCTAAATATTATATTGATAAAAATGTTATTAATGTGCATCAGTTGTACAAAAGAGTTTTATTATGACATTTCCACATATGTATATAATATACTTTGATCATACTCAATCGTCTACTGTTCTTTGTTGCCTGCCCTTCCCTCTATCTTTTGACACAATATCACAAACAAGGTGAACAAATGGATATGAGATTTCTCTGCTCTCTTTTTTCCACATCTGATTGACAGCCAAACCTTTACAACTGGTTCTGAAAGTTGGAAGATAATAGATCTCTAGGCTCTCTCAGCAGCCCAAAAGATTCTAAATCCTGAAATTAGGTGTTACTCACAAAACAAACCAGTAATACCCCCTTTAGGAAACTCCAGGACTTAACAATTTTACTCAAATATGCAAAATATGTGTTAACCATTTTTTTTCGAGACAGGTTTCTCTGTAGCTTTGGTGCCTAGAACTAACTCTTTTAGACCAGGCTGGCCTCGAACTCACAGTGATCCACCTGCCTCTGCCTCCCGAATCTGGGATTAAAGGTGTATGCCACTACCGCCCAGCTTGTGTTAACCCTTTTTAAAAAGATTTAAAGTGTGTATGTGTGTGGAGGGGTATGTGCTCATGATTGTAGGTCTTCTTGGAGGCCAAAGACATCAGATTCATAAGTTGACTTTTCTCTCTGGAAGAGCAGTGTATGCTTTTAACTCTTAAGCCATCTTTCCAGCCCCATATGTTAGTCTTCTGACCATTTGCTTTTATTACTGTTTGGTTGGATTATTTTTGTTGTTGTCTTGTTTTGCTTTGTTTTGTTTGGTTTTGTTTGAGACAGAGTCTCACTGGGTAGCTCTGACTGGCCTGGTACTCTTTATGTAGACCAGGCTGGTCTCAAATTCATATAGATCCACCTGTCTTTGCCTCCCTAGTGCTGGGAAAAGAACAAAAACTGTGCTATATTGTTGGCTGCTTTTTTACTCCTTACTCTTTTGGGCTTTCAGGAAGCTTCCAAACAAACCACATGGAGGCTTATTCTTTTTTATGAATGCCCAGCCTTAGCTTGGCTTGTTTCCTCTAGCCAGCTTTTCTTGGCTCAAGTTTTCCCTTCTATCTTTTGCCACTGGGCTTTTATCTTTCTGTATTCTATATACCCCCACCCTTTTTTTTTCTTAAGCCATGCCTAGCTGTGTGGCCGGGCGACTGGCCCCCAGAATCCTCCCTCTTTCACTCTTGCCTCTCGATCATTGATCCTTTCTTCCCAAATTTATCCTCCTATTTATTCTCTCTGCCTGCCAGCCCAACCTGTTTCTTTCTCCTGCCTTGCTCTTGGCCTTTCAGCTCTTCGTTAGACCAGTCAGGTGTTTTGGACAAGCAAAGTAACACAGCTTCACAGAGTTTAACAAATACAACATAAAAGAATGTAGCACATTCTTGCATCATTAAAGCAAATCTTCCATAGCATAATCAAATGTAATACATCTTAAACTAATATTCTACAACAGTGCTAGAAGGAGAAACCTTTTAAAAACTGTATTATTATCAATACTCAGTAAGATGAGCTATTAAAATGTCAAGCCAGGAATATCTATTATCTTAATAAAGAACATTAACAAATTAGAAGTTCCTGCCAAGAGGATCTGAATTCAGATCCCCAGAACCCTCATTAAAAATCTGAACATGGGGTCTGGAGATATGGTTCAGTGGTTAAAAGCCTTGGCTGTTCTTCCAGAGGACCCAGATTCAATTCCCACCACCCACATGGCAAATCACAACTATCTGTAACTCCCATTCCAGGGGATCATGCACCTTTACAATAATGCACATAAAAAAATTAAATCATTTTTAAAAACCTGGATATGGCAGCAAGTGCCTCTAACACCTTATGGTACTGTATATGAAATGTCAACTTATTTGTTTGTTTCAAGACAGGGTTTCTCTGTGTAACTGTTCTGGCTATCCTGTAACTCACTCTGTAGACCCAGGCTGTCCTCAAACTCACAGTGATCCACCTGCCTCTGACTCCTTACTGTTGGAATTAAAGCCATGCGCCACCATGCCTGGCTGAAATGTCAACTCTTACTCAAATGTGCAGGGCCCAGATCACCCTTTTATGATCTGGCAGCAGCTGTTTGGATGAAGCCCAGAATAGCTTTTTTTTCCCCCACATGCACCCTTAACTATTCATTATTGATCTCAGTCTTGTGATGTTGGTTCCTAGGAAGAATATAGAGCAGTCAATTCCATGAGTAGTAGTGCTCTTAATTGGACAAAGAAATTCAGCCTGGATTATTTGGCCCTGGACTTCAATACAGCATCACCAGCCCCTGTGCAGCAGGTAGGAATGATTCCCAGGTGATTTCATTTTTGCTTAGATTTTTCTTTTTCTTCTTTTTTTAATTTTTTTATTTTATATACCAATCACAGTTTCCCCTCCCTCCTCTCTTCCTGTACCCTTGCCCCACCTCTTGTCAACTCCCCCCTCCCATCCACTCCTTCTCCATTCCTATGAGAGTTAACAAAGCATGGCATATCAAGTCGATGCAGGATCAAACTCCTCCTCCTGCGTCAAGACTTGGCAAGGCATCCCTGCATGGGGAATGAGTTCCAAAAAGCCAGCTCGTGTGCTATGGACAGGTTCTGATCCCACTGCTGGAGATTTTTCTAATGATCAAACATGTGCATTCTCTTTAGATCTTAGAAGATGTCTATAATCAAAATGCTAAAATTAACCTTAATCCTGACCCCCAGAAAGAATTAAATCCCAGTATGTTTTCTTTAGGATATTTTCTCTAGGTGCCTGTGTGTAGATACATGTAATATTCGTGCTCTCCGAATTTGGGGCCATAGAAGTTATAGAAAAAGTCCCTAGGCAGAGATGAGGGTGAGGCACATACAGGTTCTTGAGGCATAGGAAGAGTTTGTTTAGGGAACAAATAATGGCTTAGTCTGTCTAGTTCTTAAGGAATGGTGAAAGGAGCTCTAAGTTGAAGTGGATCTCAGTGAATGCCCTTGAATGCAGTTTCAACTCCATTGGGTAGTATTCTTCTCTATACAGTAGGTATCACAAATAATGCCACATACATCAAGGACTATGAGAATTGAGTGGTTATTAAGTGAGTAGCTATTAACTTATATCACACATTTGACAGCCTCATGATGACGGTATGTGAGGAAGGGATGGTCATGATCCACACTAAGAATGTATTGTTTGATGCTAAAAAGCAACCTATTGAACAGAATGTATAGAATGATTCCATTTGTGTGTCTCTTTACATTCCCAAACACTGTTCTGGCATTGAAGTGAGATGAGTGAGAGAAACAATACAGGAGATACATTTGTCAGTTTGAGTAAGCTAGCCACTCAAAGCAGAAAATTTCAGGTGCTTACAGAAACAAAGTAACATTTAGCTATCACTCCTGAGAAAGACTTTTATAGGCCAGGTTCTTTGTGTTGCAGACAACCTTCAATCCAAGGCTCTTGTCAGAGGGGAAAAAAAGAGAGAAGACTGAGTTTCAGCTAGAAGATAGCTCTCTATGGAGGTGTCTGAGTGGGAGTTCTCCAGAGTTTTAGCTGGAGACAGAAGACCTACTCAGAAATTAGTGGCGCGTCCCATGGGCTAGGTCCCTAACTGATTAAGGAGAAAACAAGCTGATCAGGTTCACTGATGCTGGCTGACCCATCTTAACTGAACTCTGGGCAGGACCATTCCCCGGGGGCAATGGAATGAATGAAATAGACTCAATGCTGGCATTCAATGCTCTCTGCTAACTGAGTGTGGGAGTAAGGTTACCATCTGCTTCACATACCTGCTGCCATGCCTTCTCCACCCATAAAAGCCTGTCTCCCCTCTAACAGTGAGCCCAGATATTCCCTTCTTCTTCCCTTAAGTGACTTCTTATCAGATTTTGGTTACAGCAATGAGAAAAGTGACTAATGCAACCCCAGCAGGTCAAGCTCATTATAAAGATTCTAGCTTTCTTCAGTTAAAGCAGAAAGTGCATGTGCGCTGCCTGTGTATACCACCTCTCTGATATACATCTACAGGTGTTTGGTATGCTAAGATATTGCTGGAGCTACAATTTTTTTTTATTTTTCAAAGAGAAATCAGTAGGAGTCTATGGGTCATGAAGAATCTTAACGGATAGTACAGAAATTATATTAGGCATTCAGACAAATGCCGGTGAATGTGACTTGGACAGATGATGTAGAATCAGATTAAAAGGCTATTGGGGAAAACTGTGGGGGGGAAAAGACAGTTTCAGGATGCTTCTACTTAGTGTCAACATAAATCACTTCCACTTAAATCCTATTGATCTAAGCAAATAAAACAACTAAAGAAATGCTTACAAACATAATACACATATAAGTGTCAAGTTTATATAGGGAGGAGAGGAAGCAAATGTAATCTGCCAAAGAACATTTAAATTAAGATGAAATTAAAGCCTTCTTGTTCTCCCTCTTCAGAAACTTCTTTCAGAAGAGCAGAGAGTAGACTATGTCCAAGTGGATGAGCAGAAGACACAAGCTCTCCAGAGCACCAAGCAGGAGTGGACTGATGAGAGGCAATCCAAAGTGTGAGAGGTGTGGGCTTGGGCAAACTGTGCAGCAGGGAAGTTTGGGAGTATGTTTGCAATTTTTACATTCAAAAAAATATACCAATGGCCAGTATAGGGCAAAAACAAGAAAAATGTGTGTTCTGGGGAGTCTTGGTAAAAACTTTTAGAAGAAAGCCTATGCACTGAGTTCAGGGAGTCCAGTCCCCAACACCAGAGCCTGCAGCAAATGTTCATTTTTCCAGCCTCAGGGATACTTGCCATTGATTCCATAGTCAAAGAGAAAGAGAAAAAGAATGCTACAGCCACAGGTGGAGAAGTAAAAAAGTGGCATTCATTCAGGCAAAGTAGGAACAACAACAGCAAAAGATTACAAAAATGTTCTTCCAAATACCCTGGTAAACTTTTGTCAAAATAGAGTATTTGGAGCAAAAGTTGGAACTAGTACCAACAGGATGATGTAATTTGCCTTCAGTATGTGAAATCCTGTCCTCTACACTTAGATTATAATAATAAATTACCCCAGTAAAGTGGACTTGGAGCTGGTCTTGTCACAACCACTGAAGACGTAGTTGAGGAGATCAAATCTAGCAATGGTGGCGGGTACATCTAAAGTCTTTACACCAAAGACTTCATTAATTCAGGCATTTCTATTCCCAAGTCAACACAATTCCAGTGATGGGTAGTGAATCTGTGTAGATATTAGGGAATGGCAAAAGTTGAAGTGTAACTCCTCAGTAAAGGCTCCATGATGAGCATATTAGATGACAATAGTAGTACTAGTTCGCTATTCTAACACTGTTGCCTTTTGCCCAGCATGCTTTTGTATGTATCTTTTCCTATCTTCTAAGACTTCAGAAACAAGACATGGCAGAGACTATTGCTTTCACTTTGAAGAAAAGAAAACCAAGAAACAGGAGAGTAAACATATTGACCAAAATCACTCACAGAATTGAGGCACAACATTGGGCTTATAGTTGTCCAGACTATCAATGGTAGTGCTATTCTTCTGAATTATATTACTGCTGAGAAGTCTGGTGAAATCCAACAACTGAGTCAGTCTTGGTGACCTGTAGGAAATACCTGCAGACATAAGATGAGCTATTACCTCGCCTTTTCATGGTGATCTTCACTGGTGCTTTTGGTATTTGAAAGGGAAACATTTCCAGTAAGGAACTCTGTACAATGCTATAGTACCTCCTGGTGGTCAGTCTGAAATCTATTCTTGACCATAGTCTCATATGCAATAAACATTTTTCTTTGCTTTATAAGCTGATAGATGCTGGCAGAGAAATTTTTAGCACCTCAGGGAATATATACATTGTTGTTGGTTTCCCTATAGGGACTAAAGCTTTTAAGTGATAGAAATTACCTGAAAAATCATCTATATATTAATGCATTTATCTGCTTATTAATTAATTTTTTGTTTGTTTATTTTGCATCCTGACTGCAGTTTCAAATTTAACAAAGAGTTCTGCTCTTGGGTTTCCTGACTGTTTTCTCCTCCACTTGAAAAATGACTTAAGTCCTGAGATTGAAAATTCAGCTGTTTCCTTTATGGTTCTGGAGGCTGAGGAACCCAAAACAAAGGTCTCAGTTGGGAATGGCATGTTAGTGAATTTTCTTTCTGATCTTTCAGAGCACTTACAGAGAGAAGATATAACTGAACTGGGAAATTAACAGTTCCAGCTCTGCCACTTCATCCTGGCCATTGCTTCTTATATATGAAGATGGATCAAATAGGCAGCCAGTTCTATGAGGATCAGTGTAGACAGAGAAGTTGTAGACTTTGACATCGGATGTCAACATTTTACACTGCCTCAAATGAAAATAAATGACAAAATATTTTTTCGTATCATACAAGAAATCACTTTGGTTTTCAAAACAGATGTGTATACATCTTTTTTTTTCAGTGTGGAAAAATAGGGAAAGTGTCAAGTACTTTAAACAAGTTCAAGGACCTTAGTACACTTGGCCCTCATATCCAACCCCAAACCACAACACACAGGCTAGAGCCTGTGAGGAAGTTCCTTCTTTTTCTTGTAACTGACAATCACAGAAATCCCAAGCAGGAATCCAGGACTGCAGACTGTCAATTCTTATAGACAGGAGCAGAGCTTTCCCAGGTGTGAGATACTTGTATTTGAACCAAGGGAAAAAACTAGTGCAGAAAAATTATAACTCTAAGGGTCAAGAGCCACACAAGGATGAAGACAGAAGTTACAGCTGAAGTTGCCAGCAGGGAATTTCACTCAATATTCAAATTTATCTTATCTACGAAACATTCTAAGAATGTATTTTCAATATTAGTACATAAGTAATACAACCCTTTTAGATATATTTAAAACAAGAGTGCCCTAAATAGGCACTCTTTTACAAAGTGAAAGATGACATCATTTTCAGGATGTATACAATTATACCCTGCTTTGATGAAACTGCTGAAGGAAGCCTGCATAAGAGCACAATAAAACAAAGTACAAGTAATTTGTAAGCTGGAGACAGCAAATGCTCCTAAGAAAGCTACCACTGAGACAAAGTGATGCCATCTAAATCTTTTTTTTGTATATATATGAGGGCTGTGTTTCTAATCCAGCACTTGGTTTGGTTTGTTGTAGGAATGATAGCACAGGCCACAGCAGTGGACATCTTCCTAGGAACTCTAGGAACCAATTAAATAGGACAGTGCTGATATTAATTTTACTGTTTTCTGTAACTCCTTTCCATTTTATCCCCAGTGCAGGATGGGGAACAGGAAGCCTTCAACCTGAAAGTTGGGAAAGTTGCAAACCCAGGACTGGTGAGGAGTTAAGCTCTCCTTAGGGAAGAAGAAGGCCTGAGGCACACACAGCCTGCCTATAAAGGCACAAAAACCTATCTGTAGTTGCTTCACTATAGAGATGGAATCAACCGAATCATCATGACATGTAGTTCAGTGTCCAAACTAAAGAAGCCCCACGAACATTCCTCTTCTTAATGATCTCCTTTAGTACCCCCTGTTCATATCATCTCTGTACTCACAATGACACCGAGTTTTCAATTTTCTTTCACTTTTACTATTTCATTTCTGGCATTAATAAAAGTTTTATAAGGAGAAACTGTGACTGAAGTCATTTCTTATTAATTTTAATTGAAGATGTAAATATATAGATGTAAATAAGTCACATGTTTGGAAAGCTTGATACTTGAATAAAGGCTTCATTATATTTTCAAGTATGACAAAGTTAATCATACTTAGTTGCAATGACATACCCATGTTACTTGAATGCAAATAGTTGAGTAGATGGCTGTCACAAACAATACTTCTACTTAGCCAAATCTTGACATCTTCTTTTTTTCATCAAAAACTAGATTCACAACTGTGAAGAAGGTTTGGTGGGTAAAAGTGGTTGTTTTGCAAGTGTGTGGATCTGAGTTAAACTCCTCAGAACATGTGTAAAGTTGGGCACAGTAGCACATGTCCATAATCCCAGGAAGGGGAGATGGGAGGCAGAGACAAGAGAATACCCATGCTTACACATAGAAATCGCAGACATATTCACAGAGAACAAAGATAAATAAAAATTAAAAACATTTTTTAAACACCCTAGATTCATTTATGACATGAACCACTGTGGTAGGACGACTTTCCCAATGCAGGGAGCCCCATTATGGGAGTGACATCCAGATGGATAAAATTGGCCTTTCTCACTTCTGTTTCCACATAAACATCACATCCAGGTGGATGGCAATGGAAAAATGAGTGATCAACTTCCATTTCCCTCTGCTTTGTCCAACCTAGTTTGCCTCTACTCCCCACTGTCTCTATTTCCATTAGTTTTAATCCATGTATTTCATTTTGTAAAACTACACAACCAGTATTTATGTTGAATTTTTTAATTGTTTCAATGTTTGCCCTTACATTTCAAAATATTTCAATTCTACTATTCTAAAATGAGTTGTTTTGGTTCATTTTCATATACTTTGGTTAGGGAAGTAAGAATAATGGTTAACTCGATTAGAAAAACTATTGTTTTAAAAATATTTTATTTGTATAACTTTTATTTGGGTGTATATATCAGTGTTTGTGGAGGCCAGAAGAAGGGTGTCAGATTCCTTAGAGCTGAAGTTATAGGCAGTTGTTAGCCACATAATACGTGTGCTAGGAACTGAATTCAAGTTTCCTGGAAGAAGAGCAAAAGCTCAAAGTACTGAGCTATTTCTACAGGTCCTGAAAAACTATTATTGATTGAAAAGAGTAATAAAGAACTTTCTGAAATGAAGGAAGGAAATGTTCTGATTCTCAGTATAAGTAATGGTTACATGGATATATACACATACATAAACTGATCAGTCTATAAATTTGATATTTTTACATTTGTTGCATATAAAATATACCATGATAAAACAGTTACCAATAGAGGATGGAAGAAAGAATTTTGAGGGATTAGCAAGTTTCTGTAAGATACACAGCTCTAAAACAACTAGAAGATACAGGAAACATTTATTGTCTTGGATGTAGAAGACATTAAGCACCAAGGCATTAAAAAATGTTCATTTCTATTGACACTCCCATTCAATTCAACAAATTTTAGTGACCACCTACTATGTGACAGACACTCTTTTTATCATTTTTTTTTCATTTTCCACACCAATTCCAGTTTCCCCCTCCTCTTCTCTCATCCTCTTCCTTCCCCCATCTAAACCATCTACTGCTCCGAGGGGTTAACGCCTCCCTTGGGTGATGGAGGTGGGTCTTGATCTTATCTGTTGCTTTCATTGGTTAATAATAAAGAAACTGCCTCGGCCCTCATAGGACAGAAAATTAGGTAGGTGGAGTAAACAGAAGAGAATGCTGGGAAAAAGAAGCTGAGTCAAGAGAGTCGCCATGATGCTCCCACGCCAGACAGACGCAGATTAAGATCCTCCCTGGTAAGCCAGCTCGTGGGCTACATAGAATATTAGAAATGGGTTAGAACAATATGTAAGAGCTAGACAATAAGAAGCTGCAACTAGCCGGGCCAGGCAGTGTTTAATAGAATACAGTTTCCGTGTAATTATTTCAGACATAAGCTAGCCATGCGGGCGGCCGGGTGCCGGGGACGCAGCCCCGCTGCTCCTATTTCAACACTTGGGGAGTCAACAAAATTGAGTCAGGACTAGTCCCTCTCCTGTGTATCAAGGCTGAAAATGATATGTCACCATTGGGATTGGGCTCCAAAGTGCCAGTTTATGAATCAGAGATAAGTCCTGGTCCCGCTGATAGCTCCCCAACAACAAATCAAAGCAAATAACTGTCATCCACATTCAGAGAGCCTAGCTCAGTTTTGTGCAGGTTCTGCAGCTGTCAGTCCAGAGTACTTGAGCTCCTATTACCATTTTGATGAAATAAAGACAATGGCAGTGATATTCCGTATGTATTTTAGTTAATAACGCTTGCCTGAAGATCAGAATGCAAAGCAGCTACACTAGTCAGCCATACGGGCCAGGCAGTGGTGGCACACACCTTTAATCCCAGCAGTCACACTAGTCAGCCATATTGGCCAGGAAGTGGTGGTGGCACACATCTTTAATCCCAGCAGCTACACTAGTCAGCCATAGGGGCCAGGCAGTGGTGGCACACACCTTTAATCCCAGCAGTCATACGAGTCAGTCATAGAGGCCAGGCAGTGGTGGCACACACCTTTAATCCCAGCAGCTACACTAGTCAGCCATAGGGGCCAGGCACTGGTGGCACACACCTTTAATTCCAGCAGTCACATGTTGCGGGAGGTCCTTCCGCTCCTCCAACCAATAGCTGCTGAGATACCAGCCCATTGGGGCGTGGTTTCTCTCCCTTTAAAAAAACGGCTACTTCCTCCACTCGCTCTCTTCACTTCCTGCTCAGCCAGCGACTAGACTCCCTTCCTGGTTGTGCAGATGGCTGTTGTCTGGGACAGTGATCTGTAAGTTTTTTCCCCTTTAAATAAATAACCACTCTATTAATCATAACTCCAAACTGGTGTGGCATTGTTCGTGACTTACGCCTTCATCTGGCGCCCAACGTGGGGCTTTTAGGACCTCTCCTTCCCCCACTCGGCTGCCGGCGGTGAGTTCAGCTTGGCACGAGCCCTCCCTTCCTCAGCCGTGGCCTGTGCCTTGCAGCGGCCGTGTGGCCTGTGCCTTGCGGCAGCCTTGTAGCCTGTGCCTTGTGCATGGAGCCAGCAGTTTAATATAAATTATCACGCACTGGCTTTTCTTGCTACAGTTCTTTATATTTTTTTAGACACCTCAGATTAACTTCAAGTCCCCACGCACCCTATCATCTGCCTCCCCACGTGGATTTAAACTCCACAGGCCCGCGTAGTCTCTGCCTGCATGGTTTACTCTTTTCTGAGTCGTTTTTAAATTTCCCTTGCAAGTACAGCTCTTAAGTGGTGCGAACCAGAGCACGCGGTTGCCGGTTGCGGAAGCTGCAACCCCTCAGGGTGACTCTGTCATGTGGAGGCATACACAGCTTCCGGGTTACTCTTCTCTATCCCTGGATTCTGGGTTTATGGTTCCCTGTACACCGTTTTTTTGTTTAGTTCGTGACTTAGGCCTCAGTGCCGAGTCCGAGATACACTCGGCCTTCAGGCCCATAATATTCAGTGAGGCAGGGCGATCTCTGAGGCCGGCCAGGCAGTGGTGGCATACACCTTTAATCCCAGCACTCGGGAGGCAGGCAGAGGCAGGCAGATCTCTGTGAGTTTGAGGCCAGCCAGGCAGTGGTGGTACACGCCTTTAATCTCAGCACTCGGGAAGCAGAGACAGGCAGATTTCGGTGAGTTCGAGGCCAGCCAGGTCTACAAGAGCTAGTTCCAGAACAGGCTCCAAAACCAGAGGTCACCACTGGCAGGAACCATTCGTTGCAGGCAGACCCTCAAACAGGAACCCGTTTTCGTCACAACTTGGCAACAGCGCCACCTGCTGGATAATAGATAATATGGCAGTTTTCGTTTCCAACATGAATTTAACTGTTTGGGCTACCAATACAATGGGTCTTATCATGCAAGGTTTATATGACTATGAGGATAACTTAATTTACTGGCTACTAGGTTTTAGTATTCTTTTACATATTCTATCATTTAGGAAGAATATGGCACTCCCAAGAACCATACTATCTTTACTAAAAACTCATGTAGGTCAGGAGATTCAGGACTCAAAAGAGGCAATAATAAAGACAATAATAAAAAGACTTGAAATGATTGAAGAAATTATTGGAGCTGGTGAACAGAGTAATAAGGCACAAGGACAGGATCCAATGCCAACACCAGCTATTAGAACTGGCTTACCCAAGGTTTTAGCGACATCCCCTATACTTAATTCTGACAAAACGTCAACTTCTAAAGGCTCAAAGGGAGTCAGAGAAGCTAGATGGACGCCAATAGCAATGAATGATCTAAAAGAAATTAAGCAGGCTATTGTTAATTTTGGCTTGCACAATACATGTGTAAAGGAAATGATAAGGACTTGGGCTTCTAATGCTAGAGCTACCCCCTATGATTTCCATCAGTTAGTGTCTGCAGTTTTAGATAAGGG